CCTAGTATGTCTGTTTGTGGGGGGAATCCAAACTCTCAGGTCATAATCTGATGCCTAACCCATGCAGCATAGGTAATATGCAGTATAGGTCTAACAGTATAGGTCATACAGTCACTTTCCCTTCTGGCAAATAGAGCGGTTAAGCTCTGTATTCTCAAGTACGTCTTTCTACAGTATCTGCCCTCTCAAGTGAAGAGACGTGACAAGACCATGGACAGTGGGGTTGCAGGGCACATTTCATCAGAGTTCAGAGTTATTCTTTCTATTTTTAATATCATTCTATGGACAAAAATACCGTTGTGGTAGGGCAGAGAGATCTTCAACCTTTGTTGATCTGTGGATTCCTGAAATTTTCCAGTGAAGGTACACTGTTGCATGGTGGCTTTAAGCCAGCTGTTAGTAGGATGGCTTTCTTAGCTACTTTTGTCATAACCTCGTTATTAGCAGCTGGTTGTTCCCAGTGATGCAGAAGCTGAAAGCTACTGCAGTAGGCACTTTGACTAAAATGAATCCTGCCTCAAAGCACTTACTATCAAAGTATTAATGTGTAGGGGTGAATTCTTGTGCATTTATATAACTTTGACTTTTCTTTAGATTCCCTTCCCCAGTATATTGTTGCTAATTCTGGGCAGGGCTTATCTGTATGAATTCCAGAGTAGTTTCTAAGCACACTAGTCCAGTCACATTTTTTGCTTTCCTGAAAATAAATCCAGAGTATTTCCTATTGGTATCAACTGTGTTAGCTGGTTAAAGAAACATATATTTCTACCTCTAAAATAAACAGGATTATAAATGAGGTTAAAGGACTTGTGATATCTACACGCTAACATTTCTGTGAATCAGTAAAATTCCATCACTGAGTAACCATAAGGTCCAGGAAGAAAGAAGTAGAATATTACCTACACAAACAATTACAGGTTCATATTATAATTCTGCTAATCTTCAATGATAAGCAAAGCAGCAACTTTCCTAAATCACTTCTTTTTTGTACAGCAGTCTGACTAACCATTCACATCACTGTGATGTTGGTAAAGTAGCAAGCAGCACTTAACATAACCGCACAGCATGACATTCAGTCATAATGTACAAAGGTTTCTGCAGCATAACCTTAACCAAGTTTCCAAGGAAATGTTAGCGTCTGACACATATCAGGCTGTTTCTTGTCAAAGGCTACACAGCATAATGCATGGTTAGTACATTATGTCTTTGAATTGGAGTTATTTATCGGTGTTGGTGGGGAGATATTAAACAGGCCCCACACAAAACTGTCTGCCAATTTACTTTATTCGTGAACATCATTTTAAAATCATTAGTCTTTTATACTTAGTAGAACACGTGACTTTTCTAAAGTACAGTAGCCTCTGGAAGGAGTAATGAAAGATAGGATTTTTTATATTTCTTAGACATTTCATTTTCAGTTGGAAGGATTCTGAGCGGGAGAATGAGTTTGGAAAAAGTCAAATGTCAAAGGGTTTAATAGAAATATTTCATTCAAGCCAAAATATACCTCAATAGGAGTGGAGTGGACTTTCCAGACTTTACCCTCCTGGCGTGATTCTGGAGAAGGAGAGAAGCAGACTGATGTTTGTGTTTGTTTATTTTTCTCTCCCCCCCTAACAAATGCCTCAAAGATATCATGACTTAGGAAGGATCAGTTACTGAAAAAACTTATCATCTATATGAAAACTCCACGTTATGAGAGACCAGAGGGACTGGAAAATGCTTTTGTAGTAAGCATATTACAATTATTCAGACTTCATCATATGATTTTTTTAATTTCAGCTACTTATCTATGTATTTTAGTAGCAATTATGTACCCTTCCAGGGAAATGGAAAGAATTCGTCACCTTACCCTCTTAAAAAGCATTTTTTTTTAATTAAGGTAATTTCAAGCACTAAACCCAGTTTCTAACGGCTGCTAATTCTTACAAGTTTTATTCCTGTGGGGGTGTAACAGAAAGAACGCTAGACTTTTCCTTGCTGCAGTGGGAAAGGCTCAAGAAAGCAAAAGTAGAAAATACTGACCAGCTATTCAGGTGAAATAGCGAAAGTGTGAAAACAGCATTGTCAAATACCCAGAGTTACAGAAAGAAACAAATTTTTTTTTCCCCTCTATAGTCACCTAAGTATTGCAATATGATTTTTTCTTTTTAATTAAGGATAAGTAAAAATCAAACTTCCATATAGCTTTTAAGCTGAATTTGTTTGAATAAGTAATGCATTTCCTTCTAAATTATTTTTTATGTTCCTCAAATATTTAAAATATGAATTGAAATATTCAGTTTCATTCCTATTTCTTTTTTTTATTCTTTCATTCTTTACAAAGCATGACTAAAGTAGAATGAGTCCATCCATGGGCTTGATGTGGAAGGCAGAAAGGTTTGCTCTCTCATGATATCTTTGGAGCAAGGAGTAAGGAGAAAGAGCAGAGAAGGAAAACAAGAGAGGGAGGGGGGAAAAAAAAAAAAAGGCCTGGTCCAAGGTTTGCAAAGCAAACTCTGAAGCCTTTGCTGTATCATGGTCCTGCATGCCCAGGTAACTGGGGAGAGGGATTTTAGAAGATGGAGCACATGACATCTAGCTCTAATATGGGAAATCAAAGTAGGTAACCATACAATGATATGACTTTAAAGTGGAACTATGCTCCAGAACAGGCCGAGGTCATACCCACTCCTGCACAGATGTGTTTCTAAAATCCCCATTGTAGGAAATGGGCAAGGCCATGCAAATTGTTGTGCACAGCCACTGGTTAGCTATTCTATGCTAGTTTGGCTAGAGGCTGTCACAATGGGTAATATCAGCTCCATCTTCTCCCTCTAGATTAAAGTCTCTTTTAGATTATGCTTAATTTTGATGGCCTATAAACAATCTAGCTGACTCTGCAAATGGAAGAGACCAGAAGATATTAAGCTTGAGGGTACACCAGTACATTTTGTGGAGAAAATCTTGCCACTAGAAGAATTTTAACAAAATAATGTTGTGAGAAAAAAAGTGTTAGCCTTTTGTAATCAAGTGCACATTGTGCTGAAAGGAAGCAGCATTTAAATAGCCTTTTTGAAAACAGTGATATTCTGAGCTATACAAATTGTTAGAAAGATTTAGCAAGACACAGTACCAACACCCTCCTAACCAAGGAAGCAGGGAACAGAATCTCTGAGAAATCACTGCCATGATGTCAATGCTAGGCTGATGCAGAAAAACAAAACCCACACAGCCGCGTTAGCCAAAACTCACTGTCAACAGAGTTCTCCGTTTCTTCCCCACATCAAAGGGGCACTGGTAATTCCAGCAATCCCTACCAGAAAAGGGGAAGATAAAGACTTAGTTTATTTTCTCAGGCCTTTAAAATTGTGCTAAGATAGCGTAGCAGCCTCCTCCACAGTGTTTGTGAAGAAAGGGCTTTTCAGATCATAATACCACATGGCTTTCAAGAGGAAAATGTAATTTAGAGTGGCTACCTGAGCAGAGGCAGATCCTTGATTGTAGGTAGTAAATGGCTGTAGGATGCAAAACTACAAGATGCTATAAGGTTTTATTGGCTTGAAGCTGAAGAGACTGGTTTATAGGGTGGTGTTAACAGTAGTCGCTGTGCTTGTATAGCATGTTACAAGTTCAAAAACTTTACTGTTGCTCACTGACCCTGTGTTCACTGTGAGTTAGGTTCATGTTCCTACTTTATACTTAGTGAAATCACACTGAAGGGAGAACTCAGACTCAAACAAGTACCAGCCCTGACTTTTAAGATGACTAAAGACCAAAAGGTTTATTGACAAGGTAAAAGATACAGCTTGGCTTTTGAAAAACAAAGGCCGAATTGTTGTCTGTGGGTACAGAAGAGGGGTAAATCCCAGCCGAAAGAGGAGAGTTAAACTGAAGGATCAGTGTAACTGATCCTGATGGCATCAGATTAAATGGTTTTTACTGGTCAGGAACATGCTTAGGCTGTAAATTAGAGGGCTCTTCATCATTAGAGTAAGTTTGTTATGTGACAGCCTTCACAGAATAGTGCAAGACTGAGGAGAAAAAAACTCAACAAACTCCTTAAAGTAGTGCTTGAAACATTTCTGAAGGAGGTTATATGTTATGGTGCCTGTGGAGACAGGGAACTTCATTTGACAACCTGGAGGGTTTTTTTTTAGTGCCCTTTGCTTCCTAACCAGAAATTGTTGATAAAGTGGCTTGAGTCTGACGGCTGGAAAGGGCTCCTTACTCACCCCCATAAGCATAATTCTTTAATTCAGCACTGAAGAAATGAATGTTTTTTCAACTGTGAAAAACTGATTGTTTCTTAACAGGTATATTGCTTTACTTAGTTGAGCAGAATAAATCTTATCCTTTAGAGTTGATGTTTCAGGTGCACGGGATCTCCTGAATGAGAGGAAACTATTTTGGGGGAGTATTTTGGGAGGAACAGAATAAAATAGTTAGAATTTACCTTTTCCTTCAGGCAAACTGCTTGAGCGTTCTGATCCTCACCTGTATTTTCTGAGGAAAACAGAATTCAGCAAATGGC